ACTAGAATGTGATAGAAATAAGGAAATGATACAGAAATGTGTAGCTGCTTTCTAATTAAGTTTGAATATGACTCTTTCAGCTGATTTATGTAGCACCATTAGTGTTGTGGCTGAAGCTCTATGGTGGAATCCCAACAGGCCAGTGGCCCTCCCTTCTGACAGACATCAGTAGCTCTGGGTCCCTGGGACTCAAATCCCAGCATGAGTAGACAGGAAAACTTTAGATACAGAGCAGTAGCAGACATCACTAGAGAGGTCAAAATGTTCAGTAAACCAGACAGAGGTGGAAAAGGAGACAGACAGTTGAAAAAGAATGGAGTTGGAAATCGGAATCTCAATGTTCTTGGCCCATTTCACTTTCTTCTGAGCCTACCAGAATAATCCCATGGGAAGTCCATTTTAGGACCATCAATATCCTCCAAATTACCATAGAGGAGAGTGAATTGGAAGTTCTGTTTTACGTGACTATATAATTGTTCATAAATTATTGATATGGCAACATACCAGCAATCCTGCCTGAAATTCCCATCCATAGCCTCTGGGGTCTGACAAATACATAATGGCAGTTCTTTCTGCACTGTTTACTAACAGGAATCAAATAATAAAAGACAGTGAGTACTCAAGTGGGGATTGATAAAGTGACGTGTTATCAGAAGAGAATCAGCAATACAACATATGGCTATGCTGTTGTATGAAAATATATATTCAAGGGATGATATTAAAAGCTGACAGCCAACTTTTCAGAGCACTAATATTACATCAGCATGAATGTAACATCAATAGTCTAATCCATACACAGTAATGGCAAGGATCCATTTGATCACACAGCTTGATTTTCCATGAAATCATGCAACAAAGCTACTGACCTAAGGGTTCCCATATCTCTCGTTGTTTACATGTCAGACTCCTGTTTGATGATATCGTGTCTTGACAAGCTGATGGCCTGAGAGGATCTGACATGGAGGCACTCACTGAAGTTTAGTCCCAAACAAGGCATGTCTTCTCTTCACCCCTCTGACAGTGACAGTTCTTTGACTCACACCCAGGGAAGGCACTTCCTTTCTCCCTCGAGGTCCTCTATCTCACAAGAGTCTGGTAGACTGTCTATAACATTCCTCTAAGGGGACTTTGGCAGACACTAGTTGCTTGCTTCAGCTGGCCAAAGATCTCTCAAAGGACTAATGGCTCTAAGGGAAAGATCCAAAGATGACGAGACATGACTTTGGATCATATTGACGACTGTATAGTTTGTCCCCTGGGAGAAGGACAATTCAGACCAACTTCGGATCATATTGACGACTGTATAGTTTATCCCCTGGGAGAAGGAAAGAAATTAATTTGTACATTTTTCATAGGAATTTATTTTCTGAATGATGGTAAATAGCCAAAGAATACAATCAACTGAAATTATTATGCAATGGATCTAAATAAAAAATGGTGCTGTTTGAAATGGGTTTCTTTGAGCAGTGCAGATATGCAGAAAATAATTAAAACTGAATGATGGTAATCTATGCCTTTATTCCTTTTCCATCTTTTTTATTTTGCATATCCGGTATCCTAACTCCACATTGCCCTTCATAGACTGTAACACATACCACCTCAGCAAAGAGTCTAAATAAATAATATTCTAGGGACCACAAAATCTAATAATATCTACATCCCTTTGAAAACATCTAGGCCGCTTTCCAGACTACGACAAAAATATATAACTGGGACACATTTTGTTTAGAATATTGTGTGGCTAGAGTAAGACTCAACAGTTACGTTTTAAACATTCATACAACATGTTATTCTCCTGAGATTTGTCAAGCTGTTTTAAGTATTTACTTAAATTTATTTGTTAGAATAGAAAGCTAAAATGGTGGGATGGTTTTAAAACAGGATCTAAGTTTGGAATAGTGCCTGCAGTTGCTGAATTACTCAGAGCAATTGGGGGTAAGCCTGGCACTCGTTCCCCAAAAGGCAATGCAGAACCTTGCTTGTCTTAATTAAATGTTACGACTTTTGGTGCTTGTCTCGGGAACGGGAGAATGTGCCAAGCCTCAATAATAATTCATTCATTAATGCATCTCGGACTGCATACCAATGACAGGTCCAACTAGCAGCTGCATACACTATGAATATATTATCAATTACCTCACTGCATCTTTACAACCATTATTGCTGCATAATGCAAAAATCAACCTTCCTTTTCCATTTATTTTCAATCAACCTTTCAATTCCAAACAATGTTTATTAGATACTTATCAGCCAAATATTCATTTCCAGTTGCTTTACGTTGCCGTTTTCTTGAACTGGATAATGATCTACATGACGCATACTGTGGGAAGCAATCATGATAATTCCATATGTTGACCCTAATTCCAAGCTATCTACTAGGGTGATATCTATTAAATATCAATAAAAATATGACAATGATTAATGACCAATCAGTGAAATGAGGTTTGACCTGGCTGGCATGCGCTGGCAACAACTGAATCTCATCAGTTCCTGGTGCATTTGCTTTCAGCATAGAAGCTGAAGAGCCATTTCTCTTACAACTGCATGTTGCAAATCAAAAGTTAAATTGTAGTGTTGATTTGCTGTTTGGGGATTGTACTCTGCATTTAACCTCAAGCCCATGAAAGCCAAATTCAATGTTTGAATGACCGGACTGTGAAAAACAAACCGACTCACAGTGAAGGACCTCTGCTACTGCCAGGTGCCTACAGCACATAGTTAATAACGGAACATCGGTAGGGAGGGGGACTGTTGTAGAATAACAAAAAATACAAACTGCTTTCAGTGACACCTGTGTAAAATGCAATTACACTAACATCAACCTGTTACAAAATAGCCTACTGAGATATTTCCAAGACAGGTGACTTACAGTGAGGGAAAAAACGTTTTTGATCCCCTGCTGATTTTGTACGTTTGCCCACTGACAAAGAAATGATCAGTCTATAATTGTAATGGTAGGTTTATTTGAAGAGTGAGAGACAGAATAACAAATAAATCCAGAAAAACGCATGTCAAAAATGTTATAAATTGATTTGCATTTTAATTAGGGAAATAAGTATTTGACCCCCTCTCAATCAGAAAGATTTCTGGCTCCCAGGTGTCTTTTATACAGGTAACGAGCTGAGAATAGGAGCACACTCTTGCTCCTAATCTCAGCTTGTTACCTGTATAAAATACACCTGTCCACAGAAGCAATCAATCAATCAGATTCCCAACTCTCCACCATGGCCAAGACCAAAGAGCTCTCCAAGGATGTCAGGGACAAGATTGTAGACCTACACAAGGCTGGAATGGGCTACAAGACCATCGCCAAGCAGCTTGGTGAGAAGGTGACAACAGTTGGTGCGATTATTCGCAAATGGAAGAAACACAAAATAACTGTCAATCTCCCTCGGCCTGGGGCTCCATGCAAGATCTCACCTCGTGGAGTTGCAATGATCATGAGAACGGTGAGGAATCAGCCCAGAACTACACGGGAGGATCTTGTCAATGATCTCAAGGCAGCTGGGACCATAGGCACCAAGAAAACAATTGGTAACACACCACACCGTGAAGGACTGAAATCCTGCAGTGCCCGCAAGGTCCCCCTGCTCAAGAAAGCACATATACAGGCCCGTCTGAAGTTTGCCAATGAACATCGGAATGATTCAGAGGAGAACTGGGTGAAAGTGTTGTGGTCAGATGAGACCAAAATTGAGCTCTTTGGCATCAACTCAACTCGACGTGTTTGGAGGAGGAGGAATGCTGCCTATGACCCCAAGAACACCATCCCCACCGTCAAACATGGAGGTGGAAACATTATGCTTTGGGGGTGTTTTTCTGCTAAGGGGACAGGACAACTTCACCGCATCAAAGGGACGATGGACGGGGCCATGTACCGTCAAATCTTGGGTGAGAACCTCCTTCCCTCAGCTAGGGCATTGAAAATGGGTCGTGGATGGGTATTCCAGCATCACAATGAACCAAAACACACGGCCAAGGCAACAAGGAGTGGCTCAAGAAGAAGCACATTAAGGTCCTGGAGTGGCCTAGCCAGTCTCCAGACCTTAATCCCATAGAAAATCTGTGGAGGGAGCTGAAGGTTCGAGTTGCCAAACATCAGCCTCGAAACCTTAATGACTTGGACAAGATCTGCAAAGAGGAGTGGGACAAAATCCCTCCTGAGATGTGTGCAAACCTGGTGGCCAACTACAAGAAACGTCTGACCTCTGTGATTGCCAACAAGGGTTTTGCCACCAAGTACTAAGTCATGTTTTGCAGAGGGGTCAAATACTTATTTCCCTCATTAAAATGCAAATCAATTTATAACATTTTTGACATGTGTTTTTCTGGATTTTTTTGTTGTTATTCTGTCTCTCACTGTTCAAATAAACCTACCATTAAAATAATAGACTGATCATGTCTTTGTCAGTGGGCAAACGATCAAATACTTTTTTCCCTTACTGTAGGTTTTTATCACGTATTCAAGTAAGACAGCCTCAATGTACATTGGGACTCTGCTTGTAATTCTCTTGCGGAGCCAAGAGAGACCGTTGTTAATGTGTCACATTTCAGCGGGGAATGTACTCAGTATTCAGCAAAGCAACTTCTCATTGGAGGAGGTTAAGGTGTTAAAGAGCAGTGAGGATGGTAAAGGGAAGCAGAGCAGATATAAAGAGCACAGTGTACCGGCAATTAAGCAACCAATGCAAGCTGAATACTAATGGTTGGATGGTAGCAAAAAGCTACTATTAATAGCTACAAACTTTTCTACTTAGAATTTTGTTTGGGTACAATGACTACTTTGGTGAATAGTTTGAATACATGCAAAACTACAAGTGTTGATGCAAGTTATCCACAGTAAAATGTCATAACTTAGTTATGTGGAGTTATTTTATGCCTGGAAATCTCAGGGCCAGGGAAACTTATCAGGGCTCTCGGTGGCAGGTAGGCAGACACTAAGGCCTTGAGACAAGTCATTAACTGTAGTCCTGCTCCAAAATTGGCCCTGTGAGTTTTTATCACAGAGCCCAGAGATGTAATACAGCCAGCATGGCCATAATATTCATCAGAGTAGAGGAGGTACTCACACTGCTGGCCAACCAACCAGGTAAGGAGCCCTGCCCTGGCATCTCCCTCAGAGGCAATCTGAAACCAATTGAAAATGTTATTCTAGGGTGTAGCGGTTTGGGTTTCAATCTGTGTCACTGCCACAGGAAAGGCAGATGCTGCTGGCAAAGGGTCCCTGTCACATGGTGATGTGACATCCTGCCAAGACACGGTCTGGTCTGGCCCTCAGTTGTGTGGCACATACTGACAGGGCTCCATTAACACACTGAAGTAAGGTCCTGAATACCACTTGTTCTATTATCCCATAAAAAATGAAAAGTGGGGAAACAAAGTCCAGTTAAAACACTATTTTATTACCTGAAGATAGGAACACAAAAACCATGTTTTTACAAAAATGGCCCCCATGCTCAGTGACGAGGTAAAGCTGCAACATCCATCCATTCGAAATAAATCTTCCCAACATACACAAACCACTTTACCCTCATAAAGAATATGTGGAGGGAAGGAAATCACATTCCCCTTGATAACAAAAAGTGTTTTTCAAAATGTATAAATGGTAGCCATTCCAGTTCTGCCGCTTTCCTGAGGTCATCATTTAAAAAGCATTACAACCTCACATTCTGCAAATTTCTAATTCATAATACATTTTCTTGAATGCAAGGACTTACTCAACAAGTCTGCATGCACATAACTCATAAGACTAATGTAGTCTGTAATGAAGAAACTCAATTAAAATATGAAGATAAAAAATTCACTCACTTTTATCAAGTAAAAGTTTGAGGTCTATTAAAAAGAAATGATCAGTTCTTGCATCACCACATGGAACTTTGAGAAAAAAATGGTGAACCTGCTTTAATTAACCCCATTCAGTTCTGACTGACTTTCTATCCACTAGGGGGAGGCGACAAAAGTGAGGGACGGAGGTCAGGAATGGTGAGGAAATGTGGCGGTATATCATTCTCTGGTTGATTCTCATCATCTTCCTCTTTCAAAACACTTAAGGGAGTAAAATAGATTAACAATTTTAGGAAAAGGAAAAAGAGGAAAAGCCATCTTCACACTGACTGTATGAAATCTGACTCTGTGCAAGGGAAAATAACACTTTAGCACTAGCATGCACTGTATGTAAGTACTGACAGCCTTTGACCATTGATTCATTCTGTACCTTCCACTGATGAGGGCGGCCCTCTTCTTCTCCCTCCTAGTGAGCCACTCCTCTATGCTCTGCTCAGGGGATGCTCTGTGCTCCAGGTCCTCTCTGCTCCGTCTTTCATCTAGAGATTAGACTGCACCCCTTAATATGGATCTAATTAACACAATCACCATGGTAACTTTGAATTCTGAGCGAAATTAGTAAAGACTATGAGGGATTTCATTGAACCACCTAAATGAACAGAGTGGCATTGTGTGTTCATAATTCAAACACCAAAGTAACTTGCCACCATAATGATGTAAATTGTACTTTAAAAATGTTTTATCATCATGCAAGGTATAACTAAAACGACGACGACACCATTGCTCATAAATGAATACCCTCCATATGAGGACCATGTCCATGGCAGACAGTGCCATCTTGTGGAAACAAGTCACCTTCAATCTGCATTTTTAGGTTCTCCATGTCCCTCTGACATGTGAGAGAATCTGCATTTGTTGCCAAACACACACTGGCCTGACGCAAAGGACAAAAATATAAGCATTACACACAGATAAATTGTAAGGGTCTTTAATTCATTCATGACATGTTCCTTGTATCTTTAATTGTAGTCTTTACTCATCTTTTGAAACTTCCTGCAGGGTTTCTTAGTCTGTTCATCATACAGGATGGCTGCTGTATCTGTGATGAGAGAAGAGGTGTCATAATGTGTACACTGGCTTCCCGAGTGGCGCAGTGGTCTAAGGCACTGCATTGCAGTGTTAGCTGTGCCACTAGAGATCCTGGTTCGAATCCAGGCTCTGTCGTAGCCGGGTGAGACCCATGGGGCGGCGCACATTTGGCCCAGCGTCGTCCAGGGTAGGGGAGGGAATGGCTGGCAGGGATGTAGCTCAGTTGGTAGAGCATGGTGTTTGCAACGCCAGGGTTGTGGGTTCGATTCCCACGGGGGGTATGAAAAAAAATAAATAATAATGTATGCACTCACTAACTGTAAGTCGCTCTGGATAAGAGCGTCTGCTAAATGATGTAAATGTACACTAAAATCTACAGCCTATTACCACAAGTATGTGTCAGATGATAAAAACAATGGACTGCAGAGATAGGGTCACTGTCAACTCTTTTTAGAAAAGGGCTTGAACTGAATTGTATTTGATCACATCATTCTGAATTTAACCCCAACCATCTCTTTATGCTGTTATTTTGTAATTATATTACGTCTTCTGATTGGTTACTGTGTCAAACCTTTATGCCCTGATCTGATGAAGGAAACCAAGCCTAAACACATTCCATGTAGCTTCCTCCTATGGGCAGGTGGGGGAGTACTATTCATGTCTGACTGTTAGTTTCCTGGTTCGTTATCTATATGTTTTGTGTATGCAATGTGTGAGCTGTGCCAAGATTTTCCTATTGTAGGACAATAAACGTGATTCTGAAAACACATTGGCGACTTGCCGTTGGTCCTGCTTGTCTATCAAAATGCCAAGTAATTAAAAGCCTTTTTAAATCAAGAAGTTCCTTCATCTGTTCTTCAAAAGTGAATTGATGGGAAAAGTAAGCCCCACGATAATGTTTTGTTTACCAAGCGATGGCCATCATCCCCTTTGTTTTTTCTGCCAGTCCATATACAACCCTTTTTCAAAGTCTCCATGAACGTATAGTTTTTACCAACTTGAGCGCACCAACACAATGTTTCTTCAGACCCAGGCCCCAACTATGTTGGACTGAAACTCTTGGGAAATGAAATTACTTACCTCTGAAATGGTCAAACCAGGCCTTTTTAGATCTGTAGTGTTGAACACCGTACAGGTGTTTTTTCCTGTTATGCATGTTGTCCTGAAAGGACCGGTCACAGTAATACCGCTCCCCCATGGTTGAGATTCTGTCCTCAGTTCAGTCAGCTATAGAGTCACCTCATATCTCTGAAACCAAACACAATGGCTGTGTTCAAGAGCATCAAAACCGTGATGTATCATAAATTGTGACAGACTAACTAATCTACAAATAATAATGAGTTGTTATTTATGATGCAAGGTGATTTGTAGATCAGTCAGTTGGCAGTCGACTGCACTGTTAAATGCAATGTCGAACAAGCCCAATGATTGAAAAAATGACCATCACATTACAGGCCCCAATCGAAGTGCCAAGACCTTGAAGTGCTTACCATGCAGTGAGTCAAGGGTTGGCCAACTCTTCTTGTATAGAGCTACTGGGTACGCAGGCTTTTGCTCCAACATTACTTTCTACACACCTGATTTCATAGGCTACTAATCCCCCAACCCCCTGCTCATCAAGACTTTAGTTAGCTGAATCAGGGCTAGAGAAAGGGTAGCTCTCGAGAACCACAGCCATACAGCCGTGATACAAACTCGGTCTAGAACCTACGTTCACTCCAGCCACCATGGTTGACCAATGACCTGACCAGCCTTGTCTAACGCTATTAGCTATAAAGAAATAAGCAATACTAACCTTTTTATATGAGGATTGGGACACTCAGTAAAAGTATTCAGTATATTTCTGATCCCCACTCCCCAGCCCCAACAATTAACACATACTACAACTTTCTCCAGTGCTACACATTCCTTTGTCTCATGCCCTTCTGCACACTTCTCACACCTAGGAACCTCCCTCCTACACACTGCTGCCACATGCCCACAAGCTTGACACCTGTAACAACGTAATGTACTTGGCTCAAAAGCTCATACGGGATAACTTATATATCCTAACATCACTTTGTCGGGCAAAGATTAAACATCAAAACTCAAAAGGACAGACAACGACTCTCACGCCACCCTGTCACCACTCACGCCACCCTGTCTGCGTCGCACCAAACGACAAGCATCAAAAACATCGGGAATCTTCCCCTTCAGTTGGTCAACTTTCACATTTACTCCTATCCAGTAATGCCTCCTCTCAATGGCGCCCTTTCCTTGAGAGCAAAACGAAAGTTACTTATGTAAGCTATTGGATCACTCCAATATGGTATCCTTCCGCTTGGCAGGATACATTCCCGAGTAGGAATTTCAGATTAGTCCCGTGTACCGGGTAGTGCTGCAGCTGACCCCCTTAAATAGCTGCCACCGCACTACTCCCACCTCGTGTTCTTTTCGAGGCGCTGTAGATCACCGACAAGAGGATTGGAGTGATCCAATAGCTCAAATAACTGTGGTTACATACGTAATCTTTGTTATGTAGCACTATATTGGATCACTCCAATATGGTATCACAATACCAGATTAATCGGTGAACTAGGCATGTCCAGACAAGAGTAAAATCCTGTAGGACTGAGACCATGGCAGTCATGGTTGCTGTGTCCCTCCATCCCCCTCCAGGGAAGTGGAGGCAACACCCAACACTGCCATCCTGACCTGGTTGGTGGCAGCAACATTGACTCAATAGTACCTAGCAAAAGTGCTAGACGACGCCCGGCCTAGGCACAAATTTCATCAAGGGAAACTCCTCAGAGCAGGGCCCACGATGTAGCTACTCCTCTAGTAGAATGTGCCACCAAAGCAGACCGCAAAGGCCGGCCGGCCAGCTGATATGCTGTAGTAATAGTGTCCACAATCCACTGTGAGAGTCTCTGTTTCGATAGGATCTTCCCCAGAACTCTCTGACCATAACACACAAACAGTTGATCCGACAGCTGTATTGTCTTAGTCCGTGTAACGTAAGTGTCTAGTGCCCTCACCGGGCACAGCACACTTGGGGAAAAATCCAGCCCACTCGCAGCCATGGGAGGTGCGTATGTGGATAAATGTAAGGGCCAGTTGACATGTCTGTCAGACAGGACCTTCGGCAAGAAATAGGGGTGAGGCCGGATGATTAAACTCCCCTTGTCTGCACCCATTTGGAAACATTCAGCGCTCACTGAAAAAGCATGAAGTTCACTAACCCTCTTAGTAGAGGTTATAACCAACAGGAATGCCACCTTCATGGATAGGTGCTTCAAAGAGGGGCTCGAAGGGTGGCCTAGGAAGTGCTGACAGCACCACGTCAAGGTCCCAGTTTGGCACCGAACAGGACTTCACTGGACGCAGACGTCTAACTCCCTTCATAAACTTGGAGAGCAATGGGTCCCTCCGGGCCATCGTCATGGCACGCCGAAATTGCGGCCAAATACATTGAAAGTAGATGCCGCTCGGCCCGCATCAAGCAGTGATTGTAAAAAGTGTAAAACCGTTTGTACATCACACGACTCGGGGGCAACATTATGACCCACACAGCAAGTACAGAATATGCCCCACCGCATTTGATATAACGCGTTGGTGGAGGAAGCCCTGGCGTTCTGCAACGTGTTCCCCACATTGTCCTGAATGCCTAGACTTGCCCATTTACGCCTCTCAGGGGCCAAGCCAAAAGCTGAAGGTGACGTGGGTCTAGATGCCAGAGCCTCCCCCGAGCCTGAGAGAGCAGATCGGGCCTCAGTGGCATCTGCCATGGGGTCCCAGAGAGGAGGGCCAACAGGAGGCTGAACCATAGTCATCTCGGCCAGTATGGGGCTATCAGGAGCAGCCAGTGGCCCTTCAAACTGACCATGTCTAGCCTAGCTGTGATCAGAGGAAATGGTGGGAATGCATAAAATGTCGCTGCCTGCCAATCATGAGCGAGGGCGTCCAAACCCAGAGGGCCTGGAGGGTCCGACATCGAGAACCAGTTGGGACAATGAGTGTTCTCCTGAGATGCAAACAGGTCCACCTGTGCTCTCATAAACCTTTCCCACAGCTGTAACATCCCCTGAGGGTGTAGACGCGAGTCCCCCTCCGGTGGGCCATTTCTCGAAAGCATGTCCGCTGCCCGGTTCAAGACCCCGGGGATGTGCGCTGCTCGCAGTGACGCTAAGCAGGTCTGAGCCCACAGCAAGAGCTCCCGAGCCATTTCGTGGAGGTGCGGTGATCTCAGTCCCCCCTGGTGATTGATATACGCCACTACTGTGGTGTTGTCTGATCTGACCAGGACATGCTTCTCCTCCAAGTAGAGCAGAAACTGTCTGCTCGATGCCATGCCTCTGAACACTGCCCCCCAACCCGCTAGCGAGGCATCGGTGCACACTAGCTCCCTGCGGTGGACTCTGTTCAGTATCACTCCCTCCAACAGGAAGGAGTGAGAGTGCCGTTTCAACAGAGTCCTCACACATGCATTTGTCATCAATTGCTGACTATTTCTGTGTCGTCCCTGGTGTAGAGTTGAACCATCGCTGGAGTGGCCTGAGGTGAAGAAGGTCCAGTGGAATCAACAGAGAAACCGACGTGAGTAGGCCGAGTAAGACGTACACGGCTCGTCCAAGCCGGAAACTGTCTAGGTAGGCCTGTATCTTCTCCAATCTCACCTGAGGGAGACGTGAACTCATAAGAGTTGAGTCGATCAACATCCCCAGGAAGACCACCGTCTGTGAGGGAGTCAGGTTGCTCTTCTCTCTGTTTAGGGTGAGGCCCAGGTCTTGAATGTGCTTCAAGATTATCCTTGAGTCTGCTGTAGCTTGCTCTCTTGATTGAGCACACACCAGCCAGTCGTCCAGGTAGTTCTGCACTAGAATGCCCTTGGACATGATAGGCGCTAGGACTGCGTCCATGCACTTTGTGAATGTACGCGGCCGACCGCCAGCACTTCAGGAGGACTGCCGGGGCCCATCCTACTTAGCCGCATGCCTCTGCTTGTAAGGGTTGTCATGACGCATGTCCTTGTGCTGTCGGAGTGTAAAACGTGGGTTCCCATTTCCCTGCCATCTCGGCGGGGGAGTAAGGGGGCCAAGATGTTGCTGGAGCGCCCTCGAGACATCCTTCCCTGTCTTCCAGCTCCTCTGAGGGGCGGCTGTAGGGCGCGCAGTTGCCAAGACCTCCTGCAAAGTCTCTGTCTTTGCGTAGTCTTGTAGTCTGCTGTATGATGTTGTCGACCCCTGGCCCAAAGGTGGAACCTGGCGTGAAGGGGAGCTCCGAGAATGTTTTCTGAACTGGCTGTGGCAGTTTAGACTGTGCCAGCCAAAGATGGCGATGTGAAGTCACCACTGAAGCCAAAGCCTTGCCGTTGGCACGTGCCATGTCTGTCTGGAGCATAGTGAGAAGCCTTGACACCTCTGTGGCCTCCTTTAGAAGCTTGTCACGACCCCCAGCTTGATATCAAGAGCGATAGTCGCTCTCACTAAAAGCTCCTGTGTTGCTTCCATCACCACCAGGGGTGCCTCCGTAGCGGTGCTCCCAGCTACTGATGGCGATGTGGACTGGGTCGATCCCTGATGTGCTTGGAACACTGAAGCAGCGTTTTTCCAATTTTGTTGCATTACAACCTGTAATTTAAATATATTTTTATTTGGATTTCATGTAATTGACATACACAAAATAGTCCAAATTGGTGAAGTGAAATGAAAACACTTCTAAAGAAATTATAACGGAAAAGTGGTGCGTGCATATGTATTCACCCCATTTGCTATGAAGCCCCTAAATAAGATCTGGTGCAACTAATTACCTTCAGAAGTCACATAATTACTTAAATAAAGTCCACCTGTGTGCAATCTAAGTGTCACATGATCTGTCACATGATCTCAGTATATATACACCTGTTCTGAAAGGCCCCAGAGTCTGCAACACCACTAAGCAAGGGGCACCACCAAGCAAGCGGCAACATGAAGACCAAGGAGCTCTCCAAACAGGTCAGGGACAAAGTTGTGGAGAAGTACAGATCAGGGTTGGGTTATAAAAAATATCAGAAACTTTGAACATCCCACGGAGCACCATTAAATCCATTATTAAAAAATGGAAAGAATATGGCAGCACAACAAACCTGCCAAGTGAGGGCCGCCCACCAAAACTCACGGACCAGGCAATGAGGGCATTAATCAGAGAGGCAATAAAGAGACCAAAGATAACCCTGAAGGA